TTTCAGGCCCCTATGGTGCCTGTCACTGGGTCTGGGGCAGCTGGAGCAATTCTCAGCCATGTGTGCCCCAATCTGTACAGCAGTCCTGGAGAGAGGCTCAAAAAATCTTCACATCTACAAAACGTATCTTTCGGCACGCCTACACTTACCAATACTATCCAGTATGTGACCACAACAGTAACACTGGCTCATACAAAAACACGACAAAACTATTAGGTGGCTTGTTTTCCGTTTTGAAAAGAAGCCGTAATTGTCCACAGTGGATTCCAGACAGTTCCCGTTACATTTTCTCAGTCCTAGGTCCTGTTGGCATGACTGTGGTACTGCATTATTCTTTCCTACGACTGCCAGTCAACTACCTTGCCGCCCGGCAGGCCCTCCCGGATGTAGGGACAGGGGTGGAGGGGCAAAGGGGCGCTGTTCCTCTCTGACCTGATTTACCATCTGGTGCTGCTGGACAGTCCTCTTCTCTTTAAATTCTTCTGACTCGATTTGGATTTCATACATTGCCCCACAGCCTCCTGAAATAAATGCAGTTTGAAAGCGTTTCCATTATTAAGTCAGGGCCGCCACAGCCCGGCAGGTCCTTGGAGTCCCGCACAGTCTCGAGGTCCGAATACTACTGTTCAGCAGAAAGTTGCTGAGACTGTTAGAAGCAGGCTACGGCTTAGAGTCTGAGCACACACACCTCCCGGCAGGCTGCCCCCATCCAAAACGTGTTCCTCCTTTTGCAAGGCAGGTGCCCCACCCAGGGTTGTCACTTGTGGGGGAGGAAAGATAAGGCACGAATGCAGGTTTTCCTGGTATTTCCTTTTATTAAGCCAACAAATGCTGTGGAAGAGGGTGGGAGGGACTGAATTTCAGTGTTCCACCTTCAAACTATACCGGCAATCGCTTTTTTTAGTGCAAAAATACACTAAAATTTGGTTTGAAAACTAGAATACTACCCAAAAGACAAGAAAGGAACAAGGATGTGCAAGAGAGACAGGGACACAGGAGCTGCAGCCCTGGCCAGTGTTGTTAAATGGTTAGAGAGTTGGCCCAGCAACAGAAGGGTCACGGGTTCGATTCCCAATCAAGGGCACATGCCTGGGAGGCAACCAATCTCTCACTTGGAAGCTTCTCCCTTTCTCTCTCCGTCCCTCCCTTACACTCTCTTTAAAAAATCAATGGAAAAAATATCCTCGGGTGAGGATTAACAACCACAACAATAACGCTGGCCGCTGGCCGCCAGGCCGGTCTCTCTCCAGCGCCTCCTGCTCTGTAAGTAGCACGGAGTGTTTCATCAGGGCTTCAGCAGGGAGGGAGCAGCTTTCTGGTGAAGTGCTCGAGGCAGAGCTTGTGGTGGACTCATCCACACCCTGACCAAGCTCGGTCTCCACGTGGCTGGGGAGCTAGTGCTGTGACTGATGAGAAAGAGAACCCCCCCCCCCCCAGGCCACTATGTGCAAAGTGCTCTGTTACCCTTCTCTCACGAGCCCTGAGTCCAAGCTTTGCTTAAACCAAGGCTGCCGGCCTCAATGCCCTTTCTGTACTCGTCCCAGGCTGGGCAGAGTCAGACAGGTCAAGTTCCGGCTCTGCCTACGTGGGCCGGGGCAGGTACAGGGCTGGTGATATCAAGGCCTCCGCATGGCCGAGACCCCGGCAGAGTGCGCATCCACCTCCCATTCCAAAGGCTCTTCCGATTGGTTCATCTCTAGTTCCCAGAACAACACTTTTTTCTAAACCTTCTCCCAGTGTTACGTTCTCAGGGAAGCCTGTGGGCCGTTGTGGCTGTGCAGAGCGGCAAAGACCGAGTCTGGGTGTGGGAGTCAGGGGCCCGCCCACTGCCAAGCTCCCCCCCCCCCCCCCCCCCCCCCGATGGGTGTGTCTGGCAAAAGGCCCTATCTCCCCCGTCCTGTGGGTGCAGGAGGTGACTGCCCAGTCAGCTCCTACCACACAGCCGGCCTGAGGAATGCACGGTCTGGCTGGGGCAGGAAACCGGCTCAGGCCAGGGTCTGCCCTGGGTCCTGGTCGGCGCCTCCTCCCTGTGAGGGGCTGGGCAGGTTCCTGGGCCTCCCTGGGCTCATCTCTTCGTGAGGAAAGTGAGGCAGCTACTTTCCTCCAAGGGACAAACTCCCCCTGGTCCGCTCCAGCTCTGACGTTCGAGGGCATCAGGAGAATGTGGGGGATTTCTGTAAAGCCCATCTGGCGGTCAAATTAAAGGCCGGACCAGAGCCCAGGGGTGACTGAGAGGGAACTCATCCCCACAGTTTCCCTCCATGGTTCGGTAGCCCCTCTTCCACATCTGCCCCAGAGCCACCCACATTAAGGAGCAATCAAGTGCCTTTTGCTAAGCCCACCGCCCCCTCCCCGCCCTCTGCCCCTCCAGAGAACAAAATCCTATCAAACTCTGTGGGAAGATGAGGAAACCTTACCTGAAATGTCAGTGACTTTGATAGTTGTAGCTCGAGGAAAGCTTTCTTTGAGGATTTGGGTTACTTTGAGCTCCCCCTCAGACTGCGAGGCAAACATCCGCTGGGTGCAGCGAAGAGGAAGCTGCCACAGAACAGAGAAGACAGAAGAGGCATGGCTGAGCAAGATGACGCTGCCCCCAGGGGGCCACTGTGCAGGACCCACCTGCCATCTCCCCCAACCCCCCGCACCTCCCCCCACCCCAGCAGGGCCAGCGTGATCCTGGGCTAAGTCATCTAAGCTCACTAGGATGCAGAATCAGCTTTCTTGGGGGGGGGGGGGGGAGGGGATTGTAAATAACTCATTTGGACTCTAGAGACAAGGCCCCAAACCTAATTCAACAGATGTTTGACTTGCCATGATGATGCCGGGAGAGAGACTATCATGATGCCAGTTGTACAGGTGAGGAAATTGGCATTAAGTAATATGCCCAAGGCTGGATCCATTAGTAAAATGCAGAGCTGGGAGAGGCCAGGCAGCTGTGCCCCGCTGGCCCAAGGTGCCACTGACCAGGACTGGTGGGGCCAAAATGCCACCTACCCTTTAGGCCTGATTAATATTCCAGCCTCTCCAGCGGGATATGACCTTGTGACCTACTGTTCAATAAGCCAGTGACCTTTTGCAACATGAATTTTCACTGGGGAGAAGCAGAATTCTATTAAACCACCTGAAGGAGAAACATTTTTAGATTATTTGCCATTGGCAACCACTCTCCCCCCTCCCCTAACGGCTACCACAGGGACCCAGTGCTTCCGAGGGGAGCGTATCTCAGTCCTTAGGGGTGAAGGCACAGAAAACCAGGCCAGCAGCCCCTTGGCTGAGTTGATGCTGAGAAGGGAGGCGTAATATAGGGTATGACAGGCCTTGAATGTCAGGCTAAAGATTTTGGACTCAGTCAGGCATCTTGGTGCCAAAGTCACCTGCACAAAGCGGTGTCTTTTGAAGCTCGTCAGGAAAGATGCCCAGGTAAGAGGCAAAGGCAGCAGCGCCAGCTCAGGTCCCTGACTGGAGGAGGATGGCAGGTGGGGAACACCTGCACTGTTTATCCCATGCTGGTGCTAAAGGGACCTCCCCCCCACGCTCAGTCCTGGCCACCCTCAGGCCTTTCCTGATGGCCCAGAGCAGGGTCCTGTGTGATAGAAGCTCGGGGCACCTTCTTTAAAATGACCACCTGGTCTCAAAGGCCACGACCGAGTCTGTCCTGTTACTGCAGCCCTCCAGGGCTGAGCCAGGGCCCTCGGAGGACCTGGGGATGGATGATGGATGGATGGATGGATGGATGGATGGATGGACGGACGGATGGATGAGCAGGGAAAGGACCACATGGATGGATGGAGGGATGGATGGATGAGCAGGGAAAGGACCACACAATTCAGGACATGCCTACTGGACACCCACAAAGAAGTCCGGCAGGCAGCTGAAATGCAGGTCAGCAGAAAGAGCTGGACTTACACTGAGTGCTGTGTGAAGGGAGAAAATGTGTGGATCTGGGTAAGACTGGGGGGGGGGGTGGAGTGGGGGAGGGAGGACAAAGGCAGAGAATAATGGGGTGGCAGGCAGAGGGCAACCATTAAGGAGTGCGGTGGTTGTCAGCGCTGCAGATTTCTCAGGAGAAGCCTTTCCTGCGTAGATGTGTGGGCAGCGGCCTTTAAACAGGCAACCTACTGGCAAAGTCGCCAGCTGCCGCCGGGCCACGCTGACAGTCACCCGTAGACCTGCCAGGGGAGCGGGTCCAAGGCCAGCCGGGGAGCAGGAAGCACAAGGGAGGATAGGGAAAGAGGTGGGTGAAGCGAGGAAGGGATGAATCAGAAAGGGGCAGAGGGAATGAGGAGCGCGTGGTGAGTGCCCTCTGCTGGGCTCGGCGCCGGGACTGAGGGATTTGTGCGGGTCAAGGTCAACGAGGCCGGCGGACGTTCCCACAGTCCAGACCCGGCCACATGCCCGGCACCCGCGCCGTGACTCCGGCTAGGACTCCGATGCCCGCGGCTCGATAGATCCGCACTGCTTTTCCCGTGCCGCTGCACTGGGGTGTCGGGGTGTCTGGGTGTCCCCCTCGCCCGGCCTCCACCCAGCTCTGGGGGTCCCCCCGCGCACCGGGTCCTGACACTTCCCCGAATGCCAGTTGCCGGGACCACTGAACGAATGAATCGACGAGTGAAAGAATGAATGAACGAGAGAAAGGACGGGGAGCCCCTGCCCCGACCCCGCGGCCCCCCCGCAGCTCTCGCCCCGGGGCGAGCACTTGGCCCTGCCGGTGCTCACCCCGCGGATCCGGCGGAGCAGAGGCGCTGCCGCGGCCGGGCTCCACGCCGCCATGCCCGGCCGACGCGACCCGCCGCCCGAGGTCGCCGGGTCTCCCGAAAGGCGAGGAGCTCAGAAGCGTAAGCCACCGGGGCGAGCGAGGCTGCCCCCTGCTGTCCGGAGGCCGCGGGCCGCCCGCGCCGCTCCGCCCCTCGCCCCGCCTGGTCTGAGCCTGCGGGACGCGCCACCTGGGACCTGCCGCGCCCCGCCCAGGGCCCCGCCCACTCGGCGCCCCGACAGCCAATCCCGGCCCGTTCCACCAGCGGGGCCCGCCCCCTCAGCCTGCAAACTCTACCCAGGTGTTTCCCTTGTCCCAGTGCCCCTCGTGCCCTGGGCGGATTCCCTCTCTCCCGCTCCCGCAACCCGGCTTCCCTGCTGAGGGGCTTGGGTCTCTCCCTCCAGAAAAGAGGAGCCGGAGGAGGACCTGAAAGCAGGGGTGTCGTTTTCAGACCTGCGTGTTAGGAAGGTCCCGGTGGCTCCTGCGAGGAGGAGGGACTGTAGCGGCTGGAACTGGAGCTGAGGACGAAGTTCCGAGGCTGTCGGTACATGGCAGGTGAGACCCGAGGCCTGAACTAGAGCCGCGGCAGCGGGGAGGGCAGGAGTGGATTGATTTTTTGGGTGAGGTGAATGCAATGCGGTGACTAGATTGGGGGTGAGGGTGAGGAAGTCGTCTGGGGTGGCTCCCAAGTTTCTGGCTTGGACAACTTAGTGGGTGGAGGAGGCCCAGGCTGGGCGTGAAGGGGGAGCGCCAAAGTCAGCTTTGGACTTGCCTGACTTTAAGGTGCCTGCGGGACACGGCCCACCTGAAGCTTAGGCTCCAACGACGGTGGAGTCGCAAGAATGTAGTGGAAGCTGACGCCATGAGGTAAGATCGTCAGCAAAAACTGCCCCGCCTATATCCTTTGGGTAAACCAGCTCTTTTTGCAATTTCATTCCGGCCTATCCAATCAATAACCTGCAGCGTTTCAATGCATGGGTTGGTCAGACCTACCGTTGTTCTTTAAAGTGCTCGGCTAAAAATGTGCTCATTCATTACAGTATGGAGTGACTCCTACATCTTGTCTCTCATTAATTTCTCCTTTGAGTTACTGCAATAGCCTCTCTCACACGTCTTTTCTTAGAAATTATGGTTGGTAGGATTAAAGACACTTTGCTAACTTTGAATTTTTCTTCATTGTTGTCAATGACATAATTAACACTGACAACAATGTTTAATCCATTGGTGTAGTGGTGAACTCTTTGCTACTCAAACCACAGGTGCAGGTGCGGCAGACCCACCCCACTTTAGGAGTGACAACTAGACCCAGGTCTGGCCAATTAGACTTAGGGATTGGTTTAGGGTTGGTCACATGTTCTGAGCCAGACCAATGATAGATGGCCTAGCCTAGGGCTAGTAGAGAACCACTACTAGGGCAGTGGTTCTCAACCTTGGCTGCACATTAGAATCACCTGGGAATCTTTTTAAAATCCTGATTTCTGGGCCTCATCCTCCGGGAATTCTGTTTGTTATGGGGTGAGGCCACAACATTAGTAACAAACAGAATTTCCGGAGGATGAGGCCCAGAAATCAGGATTTTAAAAAGATTCCCAGGTGATTCTAAAGTGCAGCCAAGGTTGAGAACCACTGGTCTAGGGATTTTTCTGGAACTAGAGAAAAGATCATTTTCAACTGGTTGCTAAACTGGTAGAAAGCCTACTCCAGGCTGTTATCTTTGCAACCATGTGGGCAGAGCCACTTTGGAAATGAAGCACACAGAAGAAAGCTGCGCTGAGAGGAGACAAGTTTGACACTGCTTGTACAACTGGAAACCGGCAGTGCCAGAAATGAGCACCACAGACATTTTAGTTGGTGTTAACTTAAAAGTTAAAAAGACCTTTCAAAGTGAGAGGAAAACAAGTGTTTATTTGAGATCAATAAGAATAGGTATCTGGGCCCTAGCAGGTTTGGCTCTGTGGATAGAGTGTCCGCCTGCTGACTCAAGGGTCCCAGGTTCAATTCCGGTCAAGGGCATGTACCTTGGTTGCAAGCACATCCCCAGTAGGGAGCGTGCAGGAGGCAGCTGATCGATGTTTCTAACTCTCTATCCCTCTCCTTTCCTCTATGTAAAAATTCAATAAAATATATTTTTTAAAAAAAAGAATAGGTATGCCCTAACTGGTTTGGCTCAGTGGATAGAGCGTCGGCCTGCGGACTGAAGGGTCCCGGGTTTGATTCCAGTCAAGGGCATGTACCTTGGTTGCGGACACATCCCCAGTGGGGGGTGTGCAGGAGGCAGCTGATCGATGTTTCTCTCTCATCGATGTTTCTAACTCTCTATCCCTCTCCCTTCCTCTCTGTAAAAATTCAATAAAATATATATTAAAAAAAAAAAAAGACTAGGTATCCGGGAATCATTCATTCAGGCAGAAGTCCAAATATTGTTCAATTAGGAGACAAAGGCAATGGGTATTTATGACAAAGGAAAAGGGAACAATTACATCAGAAAGAAAGCATTTCTATTGGTGCAGATAACCTAGGGATGTTAATTTATTTATTTTTATTCTTAGTGGTATTATAGATATCTCCCATTCCACACCCTTTCCCCCCTCCGCTTAGTCCTCCTCTCCCCCAACCTTCCACCCCCGTCTTCACTACCCTATTGCCATGCCCATAGGCTATGCATATAAGTATATAAGTTCTTCGGTTTACCTCTTCCCGTCCCTCAACCCCACGTTGAGGTATGGCAGTCTGTTCCATGCCTCCCTGCTTCAGGTCTTATTTTGTTGGGCAATTCATTTTGTTCATTGGATTCCACAAATAAGTGAGACTGTGTGATATTTGTCTTCCTCAGTCTGGCTTATTTCACTTAGCATAATTTTTCCAGGTCCATCCATGATGTCCCAAAGGGTAAGAGATCCCTCTTTTAACGCTGCTATGAACACAGGGGTGCATATATTCTTTCTGATTGGAGTTTTGGGGTTTCTTAGGATATATTCCCAGAAGTGAAATTGCTGGGTCAAACAGAAGTTCCATTTTTAATTTTTTGAGAAAACGCCATGCTGTTTTCCATAGTAGCCGCACCAGTCTGCATTCCCACCAGCAGTGAACTAGGTTTCCCTTTTCTCCACATCCTCATCAGCACTTGTTTGTTGATTTTGTTGATGATAGCCATTCTGACAGGTGTGAGGTGATATCTCATTATAGTTTTAATTTGCATTTCTCTGATGATTAGTGACTTTGAGCATTTTTTCATTTGTCTCTTGGCCATTTGTATGTCCTCTTTGGAGAAAAGTCTATTCAGGTCTTCATTTTTTTTTTTATTGGATTGTTTGTCTTCTTTTTGTTGAGTTGTATGGGTATTTTATATATTTTGGATATTAACCCCTTGTCAGATGTATCATTGACAAATATATTCTCCCATACGGTGGGTTCCCTTTTCATTTTGATGTTGGTTTCTTTTGCTGTGCAGAAGCTTTTTATTTGGATGTAGTACCATTTGTTTATTTTCTCCTTAGTTTCCTTTGCCCTAGGACAGTAGTCAGCAAACTCATTTAGTCAACAGAGCCAAATATCAATAGTACAACGATTGAAATTTCTTTTGAGAGCCAAATTTTTTAAATTTAAACTATATACGTAGGTACATTGTTATTAACTTAATTAGGGTACTCCTAAGGATGAGGAAGAGCGACACTCAAGGGGCCAAAGAGCCGCAGTTGCCGGCCACGGCCCTAGGAGATGTATCCGTAAGCATATTGCTAAGTGAGATGTCTGAGACTTTACTGCCTATTCAGTGATGGCGAACCTTTTGAGCTCGGTGTGTCAGCATTTTGAAAAACCCTAACTTAACTCTGGTGCCGTGTCACATATAATAGAAATTTTTTGATATTTGACACCATAGTAAAATAAAGACTTATATTTTTGATATTTATTTTATATATTTAAATGCCATTTAACAAAGAAAAATCAACCAAAAAAATGAGTTCGCGTGTCACCTCTGACACACGTGTCATAGGTTCGCCATCACTGGCCTATGTTCTCCTCTAACATTTTTATGGTTTCATGCCTTACTTTTAAGTCTTTTATGCATCTTGAGTTTATTCTTGTTGGTGATCTAGTTTCATCTTTTTGCATGTGTCCAGTTTTCCCAACACCATTGGTTGAAGAGACTGTCTTTACTCCATTGTATGTTCTTACCTCTTTTGTTAAATATTAATTGACCGTAAATGGTGTGGGTCAATTTCTGGGGTCTGTGTTCTGATCCATTGGTTTAGGTATATGCCTGTTCTTGTACCAGTACCAGGCTGTTTTGGTTACAACGGCTTTGTAGACCAGTTTGATATCCAGTATTGTGATTCCTCTTACTTTGTTCTTCTTTCTCAAGATTGCTGCAGCTATTTGGGGTCTTTTATGGTTCCATATAAATTTTTATTTTTTTTTTTATTTTTTATTTTTTCTTTATACTTGAGATTTAATAAACTACTTAAAATTTTTTTTTTTAAATTAAATCTTTATTGTTCAGATTATTACATTTGTTGCTCTTTTTTTCCCCCCATAACTCCCCTCCTCCCAGTTCCCGCCCCACCCTCCGCCCTCACTCCCCACCCACTGTCCTCATCCATAGGTGCACGATTTTTGTCCAGTCTCTTCCCGCATCTCCCACACCCCTTTCCCCCCCAGGAATAGTCAGTCCATTCCCTTTCTATGTCCCTGATTCTATTATAATCAACAGTTCATTCTGTTCATCAGATTATTTATTCACTTGATTCTTAGATTCACTTGTTGATAGACGCATATTTGTTGTTCATAATTTGTATCTTTACCTTTTTCTTCCTCTTCCTCTTCTTAAAGGATACCTTTCAGCATTTCATATAATCCTGGTTTGGTGGTGATGAACTCCTTTAGCTTTTCCTTATCTGTGAAGCTCTTTATCTGACCTTCAATTCTGAATGATAGCTTTGCTGGATAAAGTAATCTTGGTTGTAGGTTCTTGGTATTCATCACTTTGAATATTTCTTGCCACTCCCTTCTGGCCTGCAAAGTTTCTGTTGAGAAATCAGCTGACAGTCGTATGGGTATTCCCTTGTAGGTAACTGAGTTTCTTTCTCTTGCTGTTTTTAAGATTCTCTCTTTATCTTTTGCTCTTGGCATTTTAATGATGATGTGTCTTGGTGTGGTCCTCTTTGGATTCCTTTTGTTTGGGGTTCTCCGCGCTTCTTGGACCTGTAAGTCCATTTCTTTCACCAGGTGGGGGAAGTTTTCTGTCATTATTTCTTCAAATAGGTTTTCAATATCTTGGTCTCTCTCATCTTCTGGCACCCCTATAATTCTGATGTTGGTACGCTTGAAGCTGTCCCAGAGGCTCCTTACACTATCCTCGCATTTTTGGATTCTTTTTTCATTTTGCTTTTCCGGTTGGGTGTTTTTTGCTTCCTCGCATTTTAAATCATTGACTTGATTCTTGCGCTCCTCTGGTCTGCTGTCGGGAGTCTGTATAATATTCGTTATTTCAGTCCGTGTATGCTTAATTTCTAGTTGGTTCCCCAATATAAGATCGAGGGTCTCATTAGATTTCTTGAGGATCTCACTACATTTATCGGCGGCTTCTAGACAGTTCTTAAGAGACCTTAAAAGTGTGGTTCTGAACTCTATATCTTCCATTGACAATTTTGTCCTGTTTCTTTGTCTCCGCATTTTGTTATGCTTCCTTGGTGCACCTCCTAGTGGTCTTTGTTTGCAGTCTTATAGTTAAATCTTGATTGTTGTAGCTAATTCCAGGGAGGGTTTGACCTCTAGGCCAAGTGGCTATGAGAATCAGCTGTGTCAGTAGTGAGAGAACTTCTGTCCTCTAGGGAGGTGCTAATCTAGCCTTTGCCTGAGGCTATCCG